CTCCATGGCACCCAGCTCTGCTCCATGGGCACCCGGCTCTGCTCCATGTCACCCACATCCCCTCCATGGCACCCAGCTCTGCTCCATGGCACCCAGCTCTGCTCCATGGCACCCAGCTCTGCTCCATGGCACCCAGCTCTGCTCCATGGCACCCAGCTCTGCTCCATGGGCACCTGGCTCTGCTCCATGTCACCCACATCCCCTCCACGGCACCCACATCCCCTCCATGGGACCCAGCTCTGCTCCATGGCACCCACATCCCCTCCATGGCACCCAGCTGTGCTCCATGGCACCCAGCTCTGCTCCATGGGCACCCAGCTCTGCTCCATGGGCACCCACATCCCCTCCATGGCATTGAGGGTGGTTGGGACTGGATGAGCTTTACAGACCCTCCCAACCCATTCCATGGTTCTGTGCTCCACAGCCCTGTCCTGTTTCCCCCAGACTCTGGTGTCAGGCCCACCCACAGGGTGGGCTCTGCTGCCCCCCGGAGCTGGGGGCTGGGGGCTCCTCCCCCTGTGCTCACTGGGTCCCAGCACAATTCCAGGCATTTCATCTCCTGACAGGCAGGGTCTGTGTTATTTGGTTCGTGTTTCCTGCTTGTCTGCAGGGGACTTGGGAACCATCCCAGGAAAGAGGGAAGCTGCTTTTTTTCCCAGGGGTCAAACTGTCCAGCCAAAAAAATCCCTGGAATTTAAACAATTGGTGTGATCTGGGGGGGCTCTGGGGCTTCCCACAGGCTCTGGGGGTGTCTGGGGTGCTCAGGGCGTGGGGTGAAGCCACAGCAGCTCCCCAGATGCAGTGGAGCCCTGGGGGGTGGGCAGCACCTTCCCCTGCAGCCTCTGCTGGAGGCTTTTCTGGGAGGTTTCCTGGTGTGTGGAGGGATCAGGGATTTGCAGCTTCTGCCCTTGGGGCATCTGGCAACATTTCCACAGCAAACTGCCTGATCCTGATGGATGGAAGTTCCTCTGGAGAGGGACACAGGATGTGGGCCTGTCTCCTCTGCTGCAGCATCCTGGGGGTTTCCAGGCCCTGGGGATGGTGCTGAGGGACACGGGGCAGTGGTGGCCTTGGCAGGGCTGGGGGAGGGTTGGGCTGGGTGATCTCAGAGGGCTTTTCCAACCAGAACAATCCCCCTTGGTTCTCTCCTCCTCTCCCAGGCTGGAGCCCCTGGTGGGTCACACCAGCTGCCCTCACCAGCGTGATGTGAGGGGAGCAGGGTTGGGGTCTCCAGGCCCTGGAGCAAGTGGGAGAAACAGGATAATGCCATGGGTGAAACTGGGCATCTCACAAAGCCACATCAAGGGAGGAACCTGCCCTGTGAGGTTCAAGTGCCTGAGCATCCCCTGGAGACCCCTGGCCCAGCCCCACGGATCTTCCCCAGCTGGGGCTGGGTCCCTGTGTTCTCCTGCAGGCACCTCTGCCCAGGGGAGCCAACCTGTGCCCACCTGTGCCCACCTGCACCAAACATGGGGGCTGGAGCTCAGACATGCAGACAAGTCCCTGCTGGGTGGGAAACAAAAGGACTTCCCTGGTTTATCCCTTCAGCTCCCTGCAGGGCTGGGGCCACCTCTGGGGTCCCCAACACCAGAAGGACACGGAGCTGTTGGAGAGAGTCCAGAGGAGCCCCGGAGATGCTGGGAGGGCTGGAGCAGCTCTGGAGCCAGGCTGGGAGAGTTGGGGTGTTGAGCCTGGAGAAGAGAAGGCTCCAGGGAGACCTGAGAGCAGCTCCCAGTGCCTGAAGGGGCTCCAGGAAAGCTGGGGAGGGGCTTGGGACAAAGGCAGGGAGGGATGGGAGCAGGGGGCAGGGTTTCCAGCTGGCAGAGGGAGCTGATGTCTGAGGCTCTGGGCACTGCTGCCCCCCTGCCTGGGCACAGCCCCATTTCCCTGCCGAGCTCTGCAGGTGCTGGGGTTCCCCAGGAGGCTCCTGCTGGTCCCTGCTCCTTTC